AAATCCCTAAGTTCTACTTCCCTCCCCAAATAGTCATACTCCACTCACTATCAAGGATGCAGCTGTAGAGGTGGCCAAAAGTATTAAGTGTGTGTGGGGGTGCAGATAATTAATCTTCTCCACTGTCCTCACCACTCTCTGTATGGACTTTCTATCTGAGGTACTGCTGCCACTCAACCAAACAGGCATGTAATTTGTTAAAATGCTCTCAATTGTGCCTCTGTAAAAAGTGGCCAGGTCAGAAGCAGAAAGATGTGCGCTCCTCATCCGATGCATGAAACGTGTTCTCCAGTTTGAACACTTCACTAAGGATGAAGTGTGGAGAGACCAGTTCAGATCATTAATTATCTGCACCCCACACACACTTAATACTTTTGGCCACCTCTACAGCTGCATCCTTGATAGTGAGTGGAGTATGACTATTTGGGGAGGGAAGTAGAACTTAGGGATTTGAAGAAAAAGAATAATACTTTATTGTCATTGTACGTATATGTATATACACAGTATACCCCTATAACGGAATTCATATAACACCCAGAGACCAGGCCCAATCCCCAAACCCACCCCCACCCACCAAATATTCCCCACCCTTAAACCATCCAAGCATCTACACAACAGACCAAGTAATGCTCTCCAACAATTCACTTATGGTGGCCCTTTAGTTCATCGTTGAGTGTAATTATTGCTCTGGGATAAAAGCTATTCAGAAGACATGTGATCCTAGTTTTAATTGTTCTGTATCTTCTGCCAGAAGGCAGGAATCCAAAAAGATTGTAAGCAGTATGGGAAGAGTCTCTGAGAATGTTGTGAAACTTCCTCAAACAGCGAGATGCGAAGATGTCGTCCAGGGTTGATAACTGGAGCCTGATGATATTCTGGGCAGTTTTAATGATTCCCTGTAGAACTTTTTTGTCCACTGCAGAGATACTCCCATACCATGAAAGAATGCCTTATGTCAGGATACTCTCAATGGTGCTGCGATAGTAGGACAGATGTAGATGCTGAGATAAATTTATCTTCCTGAGAATTCTCAACCTCTTCTATGCCTTCTTCTTAAGCATGTTAACATTCATAGTCCATGAGAGGTCTTCTCTTTGGGTACCCAATTCTCAGTTTTGGCTCTGCAATACTGCAATGCACTTGGCCTCTAATAATTTTTTCTCAACAAACAGAGCCAAGGATCACTTCCATTTAGAGGTTAAGGTTGCAGCCAGTGTGACAGTGTGTTAAAAGACGTTCCAGCTTAGAGACCATCTGGTAGAAGAAATGTTTGAGACTAAGCCATAAGTGTAGGAGATGGGCAGGGTCAAATGGAATCCTTAATTTGGAGTTGCTCTGCTCACAAAAGAGATCTAGGTCCACTCCCTCGCCTTGAATTCCATTGAGTCTTATGTGGCACCAATTTGCCTTGACTGTTAGTAGATCAGATTCTTGTGCATGGTGTCAGGCCTGCAGCCATATTTTCTGGTGGACCATTTTCTATTATTCTACTAAGCATTTTCCCACAATAGAAACTATTTTTATATATAAAAAAATTATTGAACACAAATTAAAACATTGGGCACAGTGTAAACATCATGGCGAAATCTATGCCATACATGCCAAGGTATAAAGTTATACATTGTAACCACCCTGCCTTTTAACATTTGTTCTCTTCCGTGTTTACAAATATAGAAATATCATATTTCCAACCATGCTGCTTTGTGTTTATCTTATACATTTTCACTATTATTGTTTCATACATAATTCTAGTCTCCATTCTATGAATCTTGGCCATTGCCAAGATCTTGGCTATTTTCGGTCTTTCCTTTTTATTCCAACCATTAATAAAGTTTGTCCTACATCTTATAATATTCTGATTCATCTTTATTCGTCAATTCCCACATCAATTTATCCATTTCAGCTCAAGTCAGAGTTTTCCTAATTATTTCCCCTTCTTGTAGAGTTTCCCCGTTTTTCCAGTTTTGGGCAAAGACCATTCTTGCTGCTATAATAATATGTATTGTTAAGTAAAGCGCCCCCTTGTTATATTTATTATTTATAATTCCCAAAAGAAATACTGTATTTTTCAGAGTATAAGATGCACTGGAGTATAAGACGCACCAAGATTTTGAAGAGGCAAATTAAAATAAGCCTTTGCACTCTGCAAACCTCCCCATAATGGCCCATTTTGTTTTTAAAAAGGGCATGAATAGCCTTTAGGAGGCTTGTAGAGTGCCTCTGGGGGTGGGGTGGGGTCAAAAATGAGCAAAAATGGGCCCTTTTTGTCAAAAAAAGGACATGCAGAGCCTTTAGGAGGCTTGTAGAGTGCCTCTGGGGGTGGGGTGGGGTCAAAAATGAGCAAAAATGGGCCCTTTTTGTCAAAAAAAGGACATGCAGAGCCTTTAGGAGGCTTGTAGAGTGCCTCTGGGGGTGGGGTGGGGTCAAAAATGAGCAAAAATGGGCCCTTTTTGTCAAAAAAAGGACATGCAGAGCCTTTAGGAGGCTTATAG